ATAATAATAATAATAATAGTAATAATAATAATAATAATAATAATAATAATAATAATAATAATAATAATAATAATAATAATAATATTAGTACTAATTCACTAAGCCAAGTAACACATTGCTTGTTTTTCTGGTGTACGTGGCAACAAAAATTGCTCCGGTCTTTATAACAGATACGCTTTCTTTGAAGGAACATAGTATGATGCCGCCATGAACTTGACTGACCTGTCAGCCACATGATGACGAGCCACTCATCGAGGTGTCAAACTTGACGGTTTAAACATAATAATATACAGTCGAGCCCGCACAAAGTGAAATCAACGGAATGTGGGAATCGTTTCGTGTTGTACGAATGATACTATGTACACGAGTTGAATACAAAGAATGAATGTAAATATGTAGGAAAAAAATCAGGGTCTGAAATCTGGCCGCTATGTGAAAATCTGTTCAGTAGGTGTATGTTTCGATATGTGTGAATGTTCGTTATGTGCATGCTATGCTGTAGCTGATATCTGTTTCCTCACCTGTAGTGCCAGATGTGAAAATGTAGCAACAGACATCACTGGTGGAGATTCCCCTTCTGACCACTGGTGAGATGGCAGAGGTTAGAGCTTCAAGGAAGAAAAGATCAAGGGAGTGAATATCTGACGGTTGCGGGTCGAACCCCAGTCCATATGCCCACACTTGAACGTTGTGAGGTTTCAGTTTATCCAGAATTGCTGTTACGGCTTGTAATAAAGTTCCGTCTGAGAAAAGAAATTGCATTCTACTTCACAAAAAAAAAACAGAACAGAAAAGAAAAGAAAGATGGATCATTTGAGAAATCATTTGAAAATCTATGTTTTGTGTCCTTTGCATAAAGTAGTGGATTGAATTAACCAACCACCAACTCACCTCCTCCCATATGTCTTTCTCTACTTACGTGTGTATATATCTTTGTGTGTGATGTTCTTGTCGTCGTTGTCATCGTCATTGTTGTTGTTATTGCTTTTGTTGTTGTTGTTGTTGTTGTTTTTGTTGTTGTTGTTGTTGTTGTTGTTTGTTTGTTTGTTTGCTTGTTTTTTCTTAAAACATTTAAAGAAAAAGGTTCATTCTACATCAACCCTGATTAATTATCAGACTTTCACGAGAACTTATCATCACGTTGCTGATACCACTTGGATCGTGACACAGTATAAAACAAAAGAGATTCTATAAAAGTAGTTTTGATAAATAAAGTCAGCAAGAAAGATACAATATGTTTGTATATCAATCCTACGTCGAAAGTTGAAACAAAGGCCAAGCAAATGATAGGGCCGCGATGTGTTAAGACGTGTGGGAGCATAATACTCCACGAATGCACGTGTGAGGGTGTCAATGGGGTTGTCTTTAAAATCTGTTTCTTCTGGTTGTTGTTGTTGTTGTTGTTGTTGTTGTTGTTGTTGTTGTTGTTGTTGTTGTTGTTGTTGTTGTTGTTGTTGTTGTTGTTGTTGTTG